TTTTTTTTTTTTACGCTTTGAGAACGATAAAGAACGGAAAGAAAAGGATCCAGGAATAACGAAATCAAAAAAAAAAAAGAAACTAAACCAGATCAAGAGAGAAAAAAAAAAATGATAATGTATTGTGTTTGTAAGTATCATGTTTTCTGATCGTTGTTTTTCTTTTTCTTTCTTTTTTGTTTCTTCTACATTCTTTTCTGTCTTCTTATGTTTTCTTCTTGTTCTTATTATTGTTGTTATGATAACCTTTCTTTGTTTTTGTTAATTCTGTCTTTTTCACACTCGTATACCGTACATATATAAAGATATGTGAACCCCCAGACCCATATATATATGCAAACAAGCGACTACGTATACATTCTATGTGTTTTTCACTATTATGTTCTTTTTGCTCTTAGTTGAAGGGGACCGATAACGACGAAGGGGGTGATGTACGCAACTCCTTCTTCTCTCTATTTTCATTTTTCTTTTGTATATTTTTCCCTTTCTTTCTGTTGTTGTTTTTTCCCCTTTTGCTATTGATTGTCTCTTACGAGCGTCATGGTGGTTGAATGGGTTTTTGTACGTGATTATTTGTCTCTTTCTTTCTATCTATCTATCCATCTATATATAGGTATGGATACGTATGTGTGTGTGTGTTATTTTGGTTGTGAAACTATGTATATGTACGTTTGGGCGTATGTATATAAGTATATATATATATATATATATATATTTATATATATGTGTGTGTCTAACTGTTATGTTTTCTCTTTTCTTTTTGTTGGATTTCCTTTCCTAAATTGTTTTCCTGTATGCAATACACATAAACGCCCTTCAGATGATAATAACGAGTTAAATAGTCTACAGTTGTTTGTGTTCATTATCTCTGCTCGAGTTGGAAAAGAAAGGGGGGAAATAGGAGAGGGAAAAAAAGGAGGCCACATGCATACAAAGAGAGAAAAAGAGAATTAATCATTATCATCGTCATCATAATAAAAGAAAAAAAATACAAATATATATATATATATATATATATATATAGTATATATACAAATACAAACAGAGTAGGGTAAATGAAAAGGGAAATACGAAAGAGGGGGATATCATTAGGGATTTCAGTTTGGGGAAGATGGATAAGAGGTCAAAAAAGGGAGGGGGAATTACAATGCATACATAGAGGAATCTTCCTTTGATGAAAAGAAAGAAAAGAAAGGGGAAAAAATTATCATTTCAAAATAAAAACAGAAAATATTTGAGAAATGAGAGAATAGCGCATCTTTTTTTTTTTTCTATGTTTTTTTTTTTTTTTTTTTGATTGTTTATTTTGCTTCGTCTTCATTATTGTGCTTATTTCCTTTTATGGGATTAGTATTGAAGAGAAAAAAGAAAGGGATTAATCTTATGCTGTTATTGTCTTTTTTTTTTTGTTATTGATTTTGTTTTGTTTTTCAGTTAATCTCCTTTCTTTCTTTTTTATTTCGTTCGTATTGTGTTTATTTCCCCTATTTCTTGCTCATCTCTCTCTCTCTTTCTTTCTGTGTGTATGTGTTGTGAAAATAAAGTGGTATGCACAATAAATGCATATATGTTGGTATGAGTGTCTCTCAGTTCTCCTAATATATATATATATATATATATATATATATATATATATATATATATATAGATTGATGTTTCTTTTTCACTTTTTTTCTCTATTACTTTTTTTTGATATATCTATATATACTTTTATAGGAGTGTAGTTCATTGTTACTACATTTAGTTTTATTTTTACGTTCATAGTATTATTCATATCTATATATACCACAGAAGAGTAAAATTACTCAAGAGTGTGGTGGGCTTCAATACCATATATTAAAGCCAAATTACAAAAAAAAAGAAAATGAGCGCTGTTGCCACTAAACGAATTGGTAAAGATCTTCAACTTCTACTAGCCTCTATTAAATCAAATAATGGTAATAATACCACAGGTCCTGTTGTTATTTCTGTTGATAGTCAAACCCTTCAGGAATGGTATGTAGAGGCAAAAGCCCCTGTTAACAGTATATACCATAAATGGTCCGATGGTAGTGAAAGAATATATAAATTGCTTGTTTCCTTCACAGATGAATTCCCACACGAGGCCCCAAAAGTACGATTTCTCTCCGTTCCCTACAGTCCCTTAGTAACACCGGATGGAAGTGTGTGTGAGGAGATCATTGTGGCGGACTGGAGTCCGGATCAGCATGCGTTGGATGCGATCATGTTAGTATTAGAGAAGGTCTTCTGCACATATGTGGAGTCTCCAGAGGAGGATATTTTTCATGAGGCACGGGATTGTTTAGAAAAGAATCCAGAGGAATTTACAGCTCGGGTACAACAACGTCATTAAGAAAAAAAAAAAAAGAAAAAAAGGTCTAATAGACAATAAAGAAGAGTATTGCAAACCGAATGGTTTTTATTATTATTATTATTATTATTATTATTATTTTTTTTTTTTTTTTTTTTTTTGTATTTCTAGTTAAATAACACCATCCATGCGTTGTGTACGCCGATTGCCTCAAGAGAAATTACAAGATGTGTGTTCATCCTCACTCACACTATCCACACGTTGTGTGATCCAGTCCAATAGTGGTAAAGGTATTCGTAGTATATTAGATCAATATGATGACTTTCGCCTCATTCAACAATTACGCCGTAATGGTAATGGTAATTACTATCGCTATCAACAGAAACTATGGCCAGCGACAGAGACATTAGAGAAGGCATTGACAGAAGAATTATACAGCTCTACAGAACGTACACCATTACAATTATTACCACAACCGAAAAGTTCTTTAGCGACTCGTCGGCTTATCTTTGAAGGATCTGGCACTACAGCATTATTAGAAGATGTACAGAGTTCAATATCAGAGAATATAAATAATGAAAAAGAAAAGGAAAATCAAAATTCTATTACATCTTCTGATGATAGTATGGAGTCAATGTTGGCAGATGCATTGGGAGCAGATCAAAGTATTAGTAATAAAATATTAACGGAGAGAGATCTACAAGGTACAATATTGGAGTCCGCATGTGAACGTGCTAGAAATATTATAGAAGAAGATCTTCGAGTAAATGAATTATTATCATTATCTTCTTCTTCTTCTTCTTCTTCTTCTATTGGTTCTTCTACAGCGGCATTAGCCCTTCAGCGAACCATTCCTTCTGCGAAAGATGCCGGTGGTGTGGTGTGGGAGGCATTGGGATTAGATCCTTTACTGAGTAATAGAGCACAGACAAAGTATGGTCCAACACCTTCACGATTACAATCTCGTCTCTTACCAGCTCTTTTACATGAAGATCATAATGATATTGTTTTTAATGGTGTTACGGGAAGTGGAAAAACAAGTGCACTTCTTCTTGCAATGTTACAATCTGTTCGATCGGAATCTGCAGGTATAAATATATTTGTAGCTCATGATACCATGACAGCCTTACGGGTATATGATCAATTTAAATCTATATGTGGATCATTAGGTGGATCTTTAGTGGACCGTCCACGTGATGATTGGTCTTGGATATTTCTTGGAACTTTTAGAGATGATTATGAAAAATATTATCATATTCTTAAACGTTCACTTAATAGTGAACATGGTCCTGTTCGTATTTTTATTACTACAGCAGATACAATGTGTCAATTATTATTTGAAAAAAAGATGGAATTTGAAGCTTTTGGATATCTTCGTCGTGTTTATGTAGATGATATTGGTGTACAAATACCAATGTTACCTCCTAATGCTCCAGTGGCTGAAATGCGAGAACGATTACGAAATCCACTGGCTTGTGAATTACTTTTAGGAACTCTTCATCAACTTCCTGGTCCTCATATTCGATCTATTTTACAACTTGGACTTGTTTCTGCAGATATGGATATACAACTGAAAGATCACTTAAAATCTCTTTGTTTAAAAATGGAACGACATACGATTGTTCTTTCACCTGTACGTGTTCCTTCTACTATACATTGTCTTTTTAGTTTTCATCTACAATATGAGGATGTGTATGAGTATACGGCCAAACTTATTTGGAATGCAAAGGAAACTATTCCAGGTAGAGGTGTTATCTTTGTTCGTAGTGAAGATGATATTCTTAAAGTTCGAACAAAATTACGTGGTTGTGGTATGAATGCTAAAATCTTTTCAGAAATATATTATAATGGGGAATTTAAAGAAGAATGGAAATTTTTACTACTTCGAGAATCTGAAGCTTTTGGAATAGATTTACCTTTTGTATCTCATGTTTTTATTACCTTTTGTCCTCGATCCGCGTGTTCATTTCAACATATGTGTGGTCGTACAGGGAGAATTGGAAATCTAGGTTGGGTGTATACCATCACAGATAAGCGAGAGGCCAAAAATGTGCGAGAGATTGCCCAACAATTGGAAGTAGACTTTATTCATCACGTTATTGATTCTAATCTATTACAAATATCTTCAAAGGATATAGATCGTCAAACGAAAGAATATGAACTCTATGGATTAGATCCTCAGTATGCAGTGAAACAGCATTATATTGTGCAAACAGAAAATCCAGATATGGCATATCGTAGTCGTGAATTCTTTAGTAAACCTGCAGAAAAACAATTTCAAATGGAAGATTACACTCCAATACCTTTACAGCATAGACGTTTTGTAAATGCAAAGAAAATAGCTCAAGATGTGAAACAAGATCCATCTGTAGTACTCTCTTTACAGAATCAAGGTCTACTGGATAAGAAGTTTACGCCGACTCGAAAATTGAGACAATTTTTAAATAAGAAAAGTCGAAAAGACGGTACACCTCTTTATGAGGCAAAAAGAAAAAAAAGAGGGTAAACATTAGAAAAGAGTTGAAATAAAGGAAGAAATAAGAACTGAAAGAAAAGGGGTGAGTGTACCCTGAAAGGTGGACTCTGGTTTGAATTAAAATTAAAATTACTTACATACAAGATCCTTAAACATTATTGTGTAACCCCAACAACAACAAAAAAAAAAGAAAGACTAAGATAAAGAAAAAAGAAAAAGAATTTTATCACCTATGGATTTTTAATTGGTTTATTTATTTATTTATTTATTTATTTATTTTTCTTATGGTCTCTTTATTTTTATTTTTTTGTTTTTAACTCTATCGTATTGGGTGTCTTCTCATCCTATCACGTGTTTATAAACAAACTAGACACATAAAGTATCAAAGCATATTCAGTAGTACAGTGTTTTGCCTTTCTTTATGTGAATAACATTCGATAATAGAGAGAGAGAGAGAGAGAGAGCAACAACAAATTCAGGGTGGTGTATACGTGCGTGTATATATATTTCTCTGTATATGTGAAAGAAAAAAAAAGAAAAAGAAAGAGAAACAAATAAAAAATAGATAGATAAATAGATTCTGAAAATCTAATGAATACATTACAACCTCCTTCTAGGGAGGCTGGTTGGATGTCCACACTACCAGAGAGGATTGATGAAAAATATAATCCCAGGCCTTTCACAAGTGTTCCATTCGACTTATTTACCCATCAAGAGAATAAACCAACACGTAACTCTTCAACTATCGCACAACATGATAAGGAAAAAAATACCTTCAAACCAACTAACTGGGACACAAAAAATATTATAGGTGTTAGACCACGAAGTACTGTAAAAAGTGATGAGAGTGAGGAACAGAGAAAGATGTTGACTCTATACATGCACTCCTATCGTTCTCTTTCTCTGACGTGTAAAGAGAGAGCAGCGCAATTGGAGAAGGTAGATGCGGAGAGAAAACTGCAGCTGAAAGAAATGGCTGATTTTTCCGAAGACATATGCGCTAAATTAGATAAAGTTCAGGCGTTGGAAAGAGAAATTGATAGTGCCCTTGCAGAAGAAATGGAGACAAATAAGTGGCTAAAAGAAAAGGCAAAGCAAATAGGCCTTCTATGAGTTAGTTCTGTACTGTAAAATAATACTATAAATATGGAAAGTCTTTTTGTTTTTTGTTTTTTGATCGTTAAATATATATTTTCTTGTATTTGAATTTTCCACTCTTACAAAAAATTCTATTTCTTTCTTTTTTTCCTTCTTTCTCCTTATCAATATCTAGGTTCGGACGACTGCAAGATACATATATATATATATATATTCTTTCCACATAGGCTCTGCAGTCTGATGAGAACATCACAGCGCTCCGTTTCATGCGAACCGCAGAGTGCAGTCCGGGTGGTCGTGCGCTGTCGACCGCTTCTTAGTGGCGAACAGGATCACACCTGTTCCTGTATAAAGTTAGATGCGGAGAATGCTAAAGTGTTAGTTACTGGGAAAAATCAGGAAGAATCACGTTGTTTTGCCTTTGATCGTGTTTTCCCACCAGAAACACAACAAACAGAAATTATGGATGAGGTGCTACCTTTGATTGATCATGTACTGAATGGATTCCATGCCACTGTCTTTGCCTATGGACAGACAGGGAGTGGCAAGACCCATACAGTGGATGGTATTGACTATCTACAGAAAGGTACTTCAAATCTGCAACCAGACGGGAAAACTGCAAAACCCAAACAGCATGGTATTATTCCTCGTGTTATTCAACTCATATTTGATCGGGTTCGACAGTTGCAAATGGAGGATGAACATGCACGCTTTCAGCTCCGATGTAGTTTTTATCAAATATATAATGAACGTGTAACGGACCTTCTTAACCCTTCCACAACACAAGCATTGGGCTCTGGGTTAAAGATTAGATGGCGTCGTGGGGATGTTTACAGTGTAGAGAATCTTTTTCTCTGTGAGTGTGATCACCCAGAGAAGATGCGACGTGTATTTCTCTCTGGTGCACGAGAGAAAGTGATGGCGAGTCACGCCATGAACCGCCAGTCCTCACGATCCCACACAGTCTTCACAATATACGTTACCCGCCTGGACGCCCAATCACCAAAGACGGTCATTAAGTCGGAATTCTCCATTGTGGATCTGGCGGGTTCAGAGAAACTCACAATGCTATCAAGGGAACCATCCGCATCTCTAGTTAAGGAATCCATTGAGATTAATGCTTCTCTCCTTGCGTTAGGTAAGGTGATTACAGCACTCGCTAATGCTTCAAAGAAAAAGGGGAAAAAGGGAACTGTGTTTGATCGACTGCATATTCCTTATCGTGATAGTAAATTGACCAAACTGCTGAAGCACGCACTTGGTGGTAATTCTCTCACCACCATGTTTGCATGTATAAACCCATCCGATCGCTATGTGGATGAGACCCTGTCAACACTCCTCTACGCTGGCAGGGCACGAAATATTACAAACGTTCCCAAGGTAAATGAAGACCCCAAAAATGCACTTATTCGGCAACTTCGTGCGGAGGTGGATAATATGAAGAAGGAATTAGCGTATTATAAAGGTCTTTTTGGTAAAATAAACGTGAAGGAGTTTTGGATGTAGTGTGAAGTTTCCTTTTTGTTCTTCAATTGATGTGTTCTTTCCTTTTTTTTTACCCCTATAAGAACGAATGAGTGAAATGAAGCTATACAAGTCATTAATTATTCTCACCCTTTGATACGGATAACTAATCATGTATTGGAACAACAGAATTATATATTGATTTTTAGCCTATAGAAGAATATATATTTATATATATTTTGATATATATTTATATATTTTTCTTTTTCTTTTGCTTTTTTTTTTTTCTTATTTATAGAAGTATATACGCGAGTATACAGTGATAAATACGACTTGCTTCCTTCAATTTTTGTGCTGTTTATGTACCTTTTACTACATATATTTATCAACTTTTGGTATTTTTTTTTTTCTTGTGGTTTTTCGTTCCGCGGAGAATGATTTTTGAAATGATTCTGTTTGCAAGTTGACTATAGTCTTTTCTTTTCTTTTTTTTGTTCTGTTTTCAGAGCAATTTCTGCTTTTCTTTTCTTTTGAGAATGAAGTCTTTCCTTCTTCTTAAGTTTATTATTGTATATGATGAACTTGAGAATTGCTTTTAACTTATGTGTGTGTGTGTGCCTCTGTATTTCCCCTTTGGGCTGGGCTGTGGTACCACAATAAAAAAGAAAAAGAAGAAGAGAAAAAAAGAAATCTGGTTTTCTTGTGGAATGGTATAAATACATTGGAATTACTATTACGATGTATGAATATGAGTCATGTGTGATTAGTCTCCTGTTTGACTGCAATGTGCAGAAAAACTAAAAAGAAAAAAAAACAAATATATATTTATATATATATCCTCCTTTGAGTTTCTTTGAATCCTTTAAGAAGGTTTTTGATAAACATGTTCTTCTTTTTTTTCGTTTTTTTTTTTTCTGATTTTTCTTTCAGTGTTACTTTATCTTGAACTTCTTGAGCTCTTAATGCCAGTTTTTTATTAAGGGACACAGAGAAGAATAAGGTCATATTAAGTGTGTGTTGAATAATTGCTAATATAGGTAACGCTGGAATTTCTTTTTTTTTCGCATTTTTCTCAGCTTTTATTGCTCCTTTTTTTGTTGTTACGTTTAAGTATTATTAATCACTATTCTTGGTTAAGATCGTTTCTCTCTCTCTCTCTCTCTCTCTGTATTTTGTGTGATGGGTTGTTGTAACTGGCACGATTGAATTAGTGATATATGCTTCCCTTTTTCCCCGTTTCTTCTCTTTTCTCTTTTTTGAAAACGATGAAGGAAGCGATACCCTTTTTTAGTAAAAGAAAGATGAGTTGAAGAGGCAAAGGAAAAGAAAAACAGAACCACCGTGGAACACAAATTTACGTATAATGCCCATGATGAGAAACAACGAGAAGTTGTGTAATATGATGCATAGAGACAAACAACATTTTCTTTGGAGTTGATGTCTCTTTCTTCCTTTGTCACTCTCTCTGTTTGTATGTTTTCGCTTGATAGTGGCTGTGATACACTTCAGTATTGGCCTTTGGTGTTTAGCCGTTTCTATTTTTTTTTTTTTTTTTTTTTTGCTGGCTGTCATCTACGTACAATAATATTGAAACCATCGCACCTTCAGTACCCCCCACAGAAGAAGCAATACCTATTCCCATTTATTTTTTTGTTCTCTGGGCATTGGAAACCGCCGGAAAATAATAATGAAATCATATTTATACATTTTTCTGTTTCCTTTATCCTTTTTTTTTTTTTCTTTTTACCTTGTGGTATTTGTTCTTCCTCTCCTATGTTGTCCATGCCTTTCTCTGAATTGGAGGAAAAAAAAAACCACTTTCTTACTTCTCTTCCTCCTTTCCCATCCTATCATTGGTGCTGATGACTTTCTTTTTTTTTTTCTGTTTTCTTATTATTCCTCTAACGGGTACGGGTGTTTTTTTGTTTTTGTTTTTCCTGCGCCATAGTACAGATCCCCGCAGCGTTTCCCCCCTTTCCTCTCTCTCTCTCTCTCTTGAAAGTGGGCGCTCAGCCACACACCCCAACGGCCCGCAGTCCAATTAGAAGAGAAGAGAAGGTGAGAGCGGCAGACGAAAACAGCAGCACTCCATGTCGCGTGAACCGCAGAGTGCAGTCCGGGTGGTCGTGCGCTGTCGACCGCTTCTTAGTGGCGAACAGGATCACACCTGTTCCTGTATAAAGTTAGATGCGGAGAATGCTAAAGTGTTAGTTACTGGGAAAAATCAGGAAGAATCACGTTGTTTTGCCTTTGATCGTGTTTTCCCACCAGAAACACAACAGGAGGAAGTGGCGGATGAGGTGCTACCTTTGATTGATCATGTACTGAATGGATTCCATGCCACTGTCTTTGCCTATGGACAGACAGGGAGTGGCAAGACCTATACAGTGGATGGTATTGACTATCTACAGAAAGGTACTTCAAATCTGCAACCAAACACAAAAACTGACCCTAAACAGCATGGTATTATTCCTCGTGTTATTCAACTCATATTTGATCGGGTTCGACAGTTGCAAATGGAGGATGAACATGCACGCTTCCAGCTCCGATGTAGTTTTTATCAAATATATAATGAACGTGTAACGGACCTTCTTAACCCTTCCACAACACAAGCATTGGGCTCTGGGTTAAAGATTGGTTGGCGTAGTGGGGATGTTTTCAGTGTAGAGAATCTTTTTCTCTGTGAGTGTGATCACCCAGAGAAGATGCGACGTGTATTTCTCTCTGGTGCCCGGGAGAAAGTGATGGCGAGTCACGCCATGAACCGCCAGTCCTCACGATCCCACACAGTCTTCACAATATACGTTACCCGCCGGGACACCGACTCACCGGAGATGTCCGTCAGGTCGGAATTCTCCATTGTGGATCTGGCGGGTTCAGAGAAACTCACAATGCTATCAAGGGATCCATCCGCATCTCTAGTTAAGGAATCCATTGAGATTAATGCTTCTCTTCTTGCGTTAGGTAAGGTGATTACAGCACTCGCTAATGCTTCAAAGGCAAAAGGGAAAAAAGGAGCTGTGTTTGATCGACTGCATATTCCTTATCGTGATAGTAAATTGACCAAACTGCTGAAGCACGCACTTGGTGGTAATTCTCTCACCACCATGTTTGCATGTATAAACCCATCCGATCGCTATGTGGATGAGACCCTGTCAACACTCCTCTACGCTGGCAGGGCACGAAATATTACAAACGTTCCCAAGGTAAATGAAGACCCCAAAAATGCACTTATTCGGCAACTTCGTGCGGAGGTGGATAGTATGAAGAAGGAATTAGCGTATTATAGAGGTTTGGCCTCTGGTAATATTGATAAAATGGAGTCTGTATCAACGCAATCCAATCAATCGCTCGGTGGGAAGGCAGATTCTGAACAGGTAATTCTCTTAACTGATAAACTTCTACAAGCTTGTGAATCTCTTAAGAGTATTATTACAGTTAATGCTCAATTACGTGATGCTTTCGATACAGTGAAAGATGCAAGATCGGAGCTTGAGAAACGTGAAGTAGAACTTAATGCGGAGAATTTAGCATTACGTGAACGGATAGAAATGCTAGAGTCCATTGTGCTCAAGGATGGTTTTATCGATAGTGGTTCAGGGAAGGTTGATACATTGGAGGATATAGATGATACACCAGTTCCGCTTAGCACGAGAAGAAAAGACTCTCAAGTGACTGAAAAGATGAAATCGATGCTGGAGCAGCCGTTAATGCGAGATGAATCTTGTCAATCTCCTGATCCCTTATCTGTGAAAAACCCTTTACAACAAAATAAACGCTCGGACTCAAGAAGCTCTAGAAGGACAAGTAGTCAAAAACGAAGTGTTGTGGGTGAAATCAATACTACAGTACCGCCTTCTAACAATGAAAGATCATCTGCAAATATGGGCGAGAGAAATTCTGGAGGTCATAGCTTTGTTCCTGTAGAGAAAACAAATCACAAAGATGAACGGAAACAACGTAAACAGAAAAAAGAGAAACATCGACGTTCGGCACTAGCAGAAAAGTTAGAAGAATATACAAATCGTTATTATAAGCCTAATCACGTTGTAAACTATGCGGAATATTATGGTAAGGCCCGTCAACAAGTTGTAGTAAATCGTACGGCAACCACTGTCATTAAGGAGATGGAAAAAACGTTAAAACATTTACCACCGAGTATTGCCGATGGTGTCCCACAGTCATTGAAACTTATCTCACAGTTTGGGGCTTTATCTTTTGGTGGTGCACGTGAGGAAGTATCGGATTTAGAACAACGTCGCAAGCAACGTGAAGAAAAGCGAAATGCCCTTCTTGCCCAACAACAGGCATTACTCGGTAATGTGGCCCGGGCATTCGCAGATGCCACAGTGCAATTAGATGCTGTACGTTATGGTAGTGCTTCTGCTTTTTCTAGTCCCAGTGCTGGTATGACTACTAGTATTAGTAGAAGTAGTGCTGCTATTGCGTTTCGTCCGTATTCGGATACTAGTTCACGGCGTCCACGGCGTCCTGTGCGGTCACAAACGCCGCCTGCGATACCAAGATTGTCAACACCAATAATAACAGGAAGTTGTGGGACTAGTCGTTTGCGTGCCTATTTGGATCATGATGAAGCAATGATGTCAAAAGCTCCATCATCTGGTAATATATATGACATTCTTCGCAAGACCGCACGGACTCCATCAAGTATGTATTAAAATAGAAAGGAGAAAGAAATTATTTACCTTTCGATATACGATTCTGATGTTGTCATTTCTTTTTTCTTTTCTTTTTCCATTGTTGTTGTTTTTTCTTGATCACTGTGAAATCTTTAATTTTGTGTTTTCTTTTCTAATAGGCGACTGATATGAATAATATTTTCTTCTTTTTTTTCCCCCTCCCAATCATTTCCTTTAACTCTTTTATTTTTTATTCTTTGTTCTTCGGGTTTTGTCAAAATCATCTGCAAGCTTACTACTAACAACCTATTTCAAACAAGCATACAACACTTACAAGAAGAACATCCCCCTAAAGAACAAAAAAAAAAAAAAACAAGAAATAAAGAAAAAAATGTCTCTTGAAAATGCCTTCTATACCTTTGCCTCCTTTGGTGGTGCTCCCACGAAAGAGATGGACAATTCCCACTTCTCCAAGATGCTTAAGGAGACGAAGATCATTGGCAAGACCTTCACCAGCACGGATGCCGATCTTCTCTTCAACAAGGTAAAGGCAAAGGGAGCCCGCAAGATGACCTACAACGAGTTCACCACCCGCGCCCTTCCAGAGATCGCCGCGAAGCTGAAGAAGTCCGTGGAGGAAGTCACCTCCATGCTCGAGAACGGCATGCCAGAGGCCCACGCCACCAAGGCCGACAACGTCAAGTTCCACGATGATAAGAGCACCTACACCGGCGTCTACAAGGCGGGCGGGCCAACCAACGTCGACCGCAATGCGGGCTCACTCGCCGGCGTTGTGGACCGCCGCGTCTCGCAGACAGACGTTCGCGGCACCACCGCCACGCAGAAGTAAGTGGGAGAGAGCGATACGAGAGGAAATTGGAAAAGAGAAAGTGAAGAAAAAGGAAATGAATTGTTTTTTTT